AAGGGTAGGAGGAGGGAGAGGATCAGGAAAAATAACTAATGGGTACTAGGCTTAATACCTGGGTGACAAAATAATCTGTACAACAAAGCCCCACGACGCAAGTTTACCTATATAACAAACCTGCACATGTACCCCTGAACTGAAAAGTTAATAAAATAAAATAAAATAAAATAACAGATGCTGGCAAGTTTGCAGAGAAAAGGAAACACTTATACACTGTTAGTGGGAGGATAAGTTAGTTTAACCATTGTGGAAAGCACTGTGGCAATTCCTTGAAGAGCGAAAAACAGGACTACCATTCAACTCAGCGATCCCATTACTGGGTATATAGCCAAAGAAATATAAATCATTCCATAACAAAGACACAAGCATGTTAGGTTTACTGCATCACTATTCACAATAGCAAAGACATGGAATCAACCTAAATGCCCATCAGTGATAGACTAGATAAAGAAAATGTGGTACATGTACACCACTGACCACTATGCAGCCATAAAAAAGAACTAGATCATGTCTTCTGCAGGAACACGGACGGAGTTGGAGGCCATTACTCTTAGCAAATCAACACAGGAACAAAAAACCAAATACTGCACGCTCTTACAAGTGGGAGCTAAATGATGAGAACTCGTGGACAAAAATAAGGGAACAACAGACACTGGGGCCTCCTTGAGGGTGGAGGGTGAAAGGAGGGAGAAGAGCAGAAAAAGTAACTATTGGGTACTAGGTTTAGTACCTGGGTGATGGAATAATCTGTACAACAAACCCCTGCAACACGAGTTTAGCCACGTAACAAACCCGCACACATGCCCCTGAACCTAAAAGCTTTTAAATGTTTTATACAAAAAGATTAGACGCCAATTAAGTACAAGTTATATTCTATGTGAAAAGGCTACAAAGATAGATGGATAGACAGAGAAATAGACGCATACCTAAATAGATTTCAAGTTCCCTTCATGAAATAATTTAGAATGTAGAGGTAGACCCAGGACAAGAAAGTAGATAACCCTGGTATGAGGCAGAAAATGGTCAATGACATGACAGAGTCACAGATAAAGTCCTACAATGCTTCATTTTTTTTTTTTTTGGAAATGGAATCTCGTTTTGTCACCCAGGCTTGAATGCAGTAGCTCGACGATCTCAGCTCACTGCAAGCTCCGCCTCCGGGGTTCACACCATTCTCCTGCCTCAGTCTCCCGAGTAGCTGGGACCACAGGCGCCCGCCACCACGCCCAGCTAATATTTTGTAATTTTTAGTAGAGACGGGGTTTCACCGTGTTAGCCAGGATGGTGTCAATCTCCTGACCTCGTGATCCACCCGCCTCGGCCTCCCAAAGTGCTGGAATGCTTTATTTTTTAAAAAAGGAAAGGGGAAACAAAAAACAAGCCAAAAAAAAATCCCAAAACAAACAAAAAAGGACGGGAAGCTGACACTTACCATGCTCCAAGTAGTAGGCTACGTAGAGTGCAAACATTAGTCAGTCTTCCTTTCATATGGCTAGTTCCTTCTTGTCCTTCTGGAGTTTGTTCAAGTGACACGTCGCCCAGGAAGCCTTCCTTGACCTTAACTCGCCCTGCCCTTCCTCGATGCGACCACAATCACAGCTTTATCACATCATAGCATAATTGTTGGTTTATTACCTATTACCCCAAAAGATGGCAAGCACCTGGAGATGGGGAACAATGTCTCATCTTTATGTATCTTCTGTGTCTAACTTTGAGTCTGGTGTACATCAAGCCCTTAAGGAGGGAAGAGAGAAAGCAGAGAGGGAAACGCAGGAGGGAGGGAGAGAGGCAGGAAGGGATGAAGTGCTATCAGAGCATTCGGGGGAAAAAGGGACCCATATGACTAGTGTGAAATCTAAAGAATGAGAGGTGAGTTCCAGAAATTGCAGGAGTGCAGCTGAATTGTGTTAAAAGGATACCGGCAGGAAGGTGACAGGTGATAACTGTTGAACACAGAAAATGGAAAAGAATTTTGAGAGTCTTGAATGTCAGACTATGAGAGCTAAACTCATGCTGTAGATAGTGGAAAACCACTGGGAGTAGATAAGCAGGGAAGAGATGAGATCAGAGCAGAGTTTTAAGGAAATTAACCTGGCAGTGGGAATATCTTATCCTTTTTGAAAGTATATTCACTTTCTATCAGGAATTATCTTTGCCTTAATGCAAAAAATTAACCTCATGGGGTGGGTTTGAGCAGCCCTGATAAACACGTCATTTACCAAAAGAGCTCAATCCTGCATGTGTGTATGTCAGCCCTGAGTAAAGTATCCTTTTTTTTTCAAGTAATTAATCTTTACACTACTCCCCAAGCCAGCAACTACATAATTTTGATGCAACACCTGAAACTAATTCTGAGCTGCTCCCCAAGGCCCAGTATGTAGTTACCAGCAAGTGCTCTTCCACAGCAGGGAGTGTAACTAGCAACTTCTAAATGAGATTCTCTTACAAAACAACATGAGCTGATAGAGATTTCAGTCGCCGTTTCTTCACTAGAAATGACTTTTACACGATGCATTCATTCAAAGAGAAATGTTTTTTCATTTGTGGGAAATACTTTAACAGTTAAGTAATTAATTACAAAGAATAAGACAATACTACAAATTAGACCATCATCCTTTAACAATCATATATTATTCATTTTAACTGCCATAGGCCAGTATCTATAACAATACATGTATACCAAATCGACAAGTGATAACTTCAGACTATTTTAGATGAAAATTGTATCTTAAAATTGTAAAGTTGTATCAGTAAATATTAACGTTAAACATGCAAGTTCAGTTGATATTTTGTTTTTAATGACATTTATTTTCTCTAATTTCCCAAACGTATTGCGGATCAAAAAAAGTAATAATAATGCAAAGAACACACGTCTGCCAAGACAGTATTACTAAGCCATGCTAAATGAAAGGAGATAATTGAGTCTTTGATATTACCCAAATGGACTTCTGGAATTATCTTTTTAGAGACCATATGTTCAATAATCAACAACTCAGAAAAGAAGAGGATTACCCTGATATTAAAATATTTTGAAGACAAAAGTAAACCAAGTCACTAGACATGAGCCATCTTTTAGCTTTTGTTTATAATCTCAAGGTAAATCATTGAGAATACTCAAGCTGAATGTATACCTGAATAAGAAATTAACTCACAGATTATCGTTTTCCTATTGCTCCATATTTTGACAAAGCATTCTTTTCCAGTGTTCCTCCCTGGGTCAAATGAAGGGCCAAAGAAAGTCGTTTCCCCATTCCTCATGCTGTGATATAGGCTCTCCTCTAACAATTCTAAGGGCTGTAAAAGTGTTGGGAGATGGATGTGTGAATAGATGCTTGCCCAGAAAGTCCTGGGAATACCACTGGCTCTCCAATGAAGGGGTCATTTTGAGCTTTGCTGAACCTTGAGGTAAACTTACTATTTAAATTACAGGAAGCTCATTCCCTTTGTCTGGTCTAGAATGATCATTCTTTAAAAAAAAAAAAAAATAAATAAAAATCAGTAAATAAGTTCCCAACAGACTTGTCCTGCTAAACTAGTCATCACACTTTCACTTTCTGCTCCCACGAGCCTCCATGAATCTCTGCCCAGCTTGCTTAACTGAAATTCACAGACATCAAGTTATCTTGAAGAGAGAGTTCTTTCTGATCCTGTCAACTTCTAGAGTTAAATATACACAAGCATTACTTTTACATTTACTTTTACATTTACTTACCAGCATTTCTACAAATTCTGTTTTTCCACACATATTCATATACACAAAAATGTATATAGGTCATTTTCAAAGTTTCATATCTAGAAAAAGATTGAAAATATTTTATGGAAATCAAATTCCAGGTAACTGTACATAATCAGAGGGCAAGTATCTATCAATCACTCAGTTTATCCTAAAAAATCTTGCATTCTAATACCTGCTCTAGATAAACATCTGCTTTTTTGCTATTCATGTCTTCACTATATAATGTACTTAATAATTGCTTCGCCAACTCTTAATTCCCTTTTTTTTTTTCAAGCAGAAAGATGTTTTAAAACTCAGGTACTTTACCACGTATTCTCCCCCAGGAAAATCTGTAGCAGATAGATTTGTAGACTTGCCTTCTCCCTGGGAGAAACTTGTCTACTTCTATACATGTTCAAGAAAAAAAACTGAGTTTTGTTGACATGGCAACTCCTTCAATATTCTCTGTATGTCACAATAAATTCTCTTCCAAACCCCCTGCTCCATGAGTTGTAATTCTCACCTCAATCAGAGAAAAGCTGTGTATTTCAGAGATACATTAACAGAATGTAGAACAAAATGGCTCTCTTGTTCCCCATTAAGTGATTTTGTTTCAGGTAAATTTCTAGATCAGACATCCATGATGTAAGAACTACATTCAAGAACTAAATTTGTTTATCTATATATATTTTTTTAATTTAGTTGGTGTCTCTCTCTGTCACCCAGACTGGAATGCAGTGGTGCGATCTTGGCTAACTGCAACTTCTGCCACCCAGGTTTAAGCGATCCTCTCACCTCAGCCTCCTGAGTAACTGGGACTACAGGCATGCACCACCACTCCTGGCTAATTTTTGTATTTTTAGTAGAGATGGGGTTTCACCATGTTGTCCAGGCTGGCCTCGACCTCCTGACCTCAAGTGATCCACCCACCTCGGTGTCCCAAAGTGGTGGGATTACAGGCATGAGCCACTGCATCCAGCCTTATCTATCATTTTAGATAACTGGCTCCTACTGTATCCTCTACTGCATAGTCCTTATACCAAAGTATTTCAAAATGTTTGAATGAAATAGGTTTTAATTTCAATAGTAAAAGGTATTCTGGTTCATGCTAAATGGTATCTTATAGTACGAGATTTGATATACTATGCTAAGACTACACCACCAAAACCCAAATCCTCAATGTGACCTGAGAGTATTAGGCAGCTGCTATAGGAGCAACCTGAAAGCGAATGTTGAACCACATCATCATTGCAGCTTCGAAGGACACATGTAAATCACAACTCTAGTCTTCCAGAACAATTGACACTGTGGTATTGTGAAGCTCACTGCTCACAGAAGCTGAGGTCAGTTGGATGCTCTTATCTGTGGCAGAGACTCTTCCACCAACAATTTCATCGGCGTTCCTCTGTGGCCTCAGCAAAATAATGAAGCACTTAGAAGCAAATATACAACCCAACAAACCATAGCTGAATGCTGGGATTGCAAATATTTACACAGCCACTTTGAACTTGCCTTTGGTGCTCAAATAAGCAGGGACAAAAGAGATCCAGACGATGAAAAAGACGAGCATCCCAAAGGTGACACATTTTCCGTCATGGTAATTATCTGGCAACTGGCGAGTCACAAAAGTTGTAAGAAAGCATAGCGAGGCTAGGAAGACATCAATCCCAAACATGGAGCACAAAAACTCTATGGAACCTTCATTGCATCCCAGAATGATCTTTGCATTTTGAGGTTCCATGTTCTTGTATACCCTGGGAGGTTCCAATACCAAGTAGGCTGTACATATGTCAATCTCAAATAAAACAGAGATTCGCACAGTGATTATCCGATAAAGCGGGTGCATGGATGTAAGTCGAGTTTTGGATTTGGAAATTCTGTAGGCTAAAAACAGTGAAATAGGCTTTCCAAGAATGCATGACAGGCAAAGAGAAAAGCCCAGTGCCAGAGTGACCTGGCGGGCCATGCAGGACCAATTGTGTGGCTTGCCAATGAAAAGCATGGACGACAGCAGCGTGATGATCAGAGAAAACTGAATGAGAAAACTCAGCTGCTGGTCATTGGCGTTCACAAGGGGAGTGTGCCTGTGTATCACATACACAGTTGTGATTGCCAAGACCACAGATGCCCCAAAGACAGAAAGAATGACAGGCGTGAATCCCAAGGCCTCATTATAAGCAAGGTATTCCACCTGTTTCGGCACACACTTGCTCTTTTGTGCATTTGACCAATAGTCTTCATCACATTGTTCCCACTCCCTTTGACCTATTGAATGAAGAACAGAGAATTGACTGCAAAGAAATCCAATTGTCCCCTTCCACTGTGAATATCCCAGAGCCCTCATAGTTCTAGAGTGGGGACTTGTTGAAAATCCCTTTATGTAGAATATATATAGTATCTCAAAAGAAATAGTGATAAAATGGCCTTAGAGTGTACAGATAATATTACAGATTGAGAATTATTTTCAGTTTTGGAAAGTCAGTCTCCCTTCTCAGTTTCAGCCTTTCCTGCATTGGCCTTTTCCAGTAACAAGCTTCTTTCTTACTACTCCAGTTAGCTAATTGAGAAGAGTGGTGTGTATCCTCATAAACCCAAGAACAATCCACAAATGAAAAAAATGTAAAAAAAATTAAAGCTACTGAGGCAAAACAATCGAGAGAATTGTGACAGGAATAAGGTTGATTAAAATACAAATGTTTTCTGTCTTTATTCAATATCACCCTTATGAGAGGGAATTTTGTCTTTGCTTACTCAGAGCTTTTCCCCTCTTCACTCTCCAGATACAGATTCGAAGGAATAGGTAGAGTAATTGAGGATAAGAAGAAAAACAAGGCTGGGCACAGTGGCCCAGTCCTGTAATCCCAGCACTTTGGGAGGCTGAGGTGAGTGGATCACTTGAGCCCAGGAGTTCGAGACCAGCCTGGGCAACATGGCAAAACTTTGTCTCTGCCAAATAATACAAAAAATCAGCTGGGCGTGACAGTGCATGCCTGTAGTCCCAATTACTTGGGATGCTGAGATGGGAGGATTACTTGAGCCCAGGAGGCTGAGGTTGCAGTGAGCCAAGATAATGCCACTAAACTCCAGCCTGGGTGACAGTGCAAGACTTCAACTCAAAAAGAGAGAGAGCGGGAGAGAGACAGAGACAAAGAAAGAAAAGAAGAAGCAGCAGCAGTGGAGGGGGAGGGGGAGGAAGAGGAGGAGGAAGAAGAAGAAAATGAGGAAGAAGAGAAGAAGAAGAAGAAGAAGAGGAGGAGGAGGAGGGGGAGGAGGAGAAGGAGGAGGAGAAAAAGAAGGAGGGGGAAGGGGAGAGGCAGGAGAAGGAGAAAAGGAGAAAGAGAAGAAGATGGGGAAGGGGAAGGAGAAGAAGATGGGGAGGGAAGAAGAAGGAGAAGAACCTACATGGTGCTTGACATTGAGAAGATCTGGAGCATTTAGCTGGGTGGAAGCTATAAGGGAGAATGTCAGAACATAAGACTATTTGATATGAGTTTATAGTAGACTGTGAAATTGATCTCTTTAATGTCTTTGAAAGATGCAGGAAAGATTGCAATTCCTGTTTAATCACTTTTCACTGCTGTATTGGACTTCCCTGGATGTAACTCTATGCAGAGACTGGGCTGTGTGGGGTCCAAGGAGTTGTTCAGGTTACATAGTTCTTGTTTTCCATTTTGAGAAAAGGTTACTTTTTTTTTTTTTTTTCCCCCGAGACAGAGTCTCGCTGTGTTGCCAGGCTGGAGTGCAGTGGCACGATCTCAGCTCACTGCAAGCTCTGCCTCCCAGGATCACACCATTCTCCTGCCTCAGCCTCCTGAGTAGCTGGGACTACAGGCACCCGCCACCACGACCAGCTAATTTTATGTATTTTTAGTAGAGACGGGGTTTCACCGTGTTAGCCAGGATGGTCTCGATCTCCTGACCTCATGATCCACCCGCCTCGGCCTCCCAAAGTGCTAGAATTACAGACGTGAGCCACCGTGCCTGGCCTTCAAAATTCTTTTATAAAGAATTGCTACTGAGGGCCATTTGACAAAAGACAAGTACACTTTGTGTTATCTTTAACAGAAGGTAGAGATAAAAATAAACCTGCTCCAACATGCTTCACAAGACTGAGCACACTGAGCCCAATTAAAATTCTGGTCATAAAGAGCAACAATTTGGCAGGCCATAGTGAAGAATTCATAGAGCAGGGGTTACAGAAATCATGTGTCCTACAAATTTTGAGTACTTATGACCTTAAGCCAATTGCCTTTAGGGATGAAATTTTAGATCTTATAACTCCAAATTAGAGCTAATTCAATAAAACATAGTACTATATAAGTCCCCTGTCTTCTGATTATGAATATAACTAGCATTTAATTTTTTCAGAAACAAATAATTTAAAATATTTTTTATTAATCCTACTCATATTTCACATTTCATATATTTTATTTTGCATTTTCCACTATTAACTTCAAGATTGTAGGTATTTTCCCAACTGTAGCAGCTTTAGAACTGAAACACAATACTATGTTTTTTTCACAGTGCACAAAACATCCAATAATTTGAAGGATTTTAATTATTTTTGTTATAAGTTGTTCATACCTATTTATAAAGAAAGCTCCTGAGGCCTTCTTTGCAAAAACATGTTTGATCTAAAAGCATCCTCGTATCAATGAAGAAATTACCATCTCTACCTGGTTTCTGTGACACATGTCCATCAGCACATGGGATGGAGTCAAAGCAGCATATTGGTTCCCCCTGACGAATCCCCTTCCGAGTCCCAGGAGCACATGCATCAGTACACACTGAATGGGGAAGCTAGCAAAGACAAATATGACAGATTAACAAAGCCCTTTGTCTCTAGTACTCATGAGGCTGAGAAAGAGCCCATTTGAATTTCCATGGAAGCTTTGTGATTTCCGGGAAACCCAGGATACCTGAGTGAAGATAATGAACAAAGAAAATAACAACATGGAGAACCTAAAGAGGAATTTTGCTAAAGGAGAGTCTCGTTTTTGATTCTAGAAATGCAAAGCTAATCCTAAGCCTACTTCTTTCTAACCTTGGGGATCCAGACCAGGCTCCATGCCTACAGGACTCTGGGGATGAGACCATTTGGCAGGTCTGTTCCTGCTTGTGAAGGAGGAGGGCAAAAGGAAAAGCAGACAAGGCATAGCATTGAAATATTTTCTCGCTAAATGAATTTCAAAATCTCAGTAGTAAACACAGGCCTCCTTTTACATTCTACACGGATGTGCGCCTTGAAACCCAGAATAAATGCAAGTTTTTAAATAGTTTGTTTCTTAATCCATTAGGGAGTTTCCTGTTTAAGAAATAAAATGCTTTTCCATTAAGCAAAGAATCATTTTGGAAGATGCATGATTACATTTATATTTATTTTACAAATCAGAATTTTCATATGTTGAGTTTTCCAGGTAAATCTGAATTAGATAATATAGAAAACACTAGAAATCTCTGAGCTAGGTTATGGTACGTAACATTACAGAAGTATGTATACACAGTAGATAAGCTTCTTATATGTTTCATACATATATATCTGTAAAATCATATTTTAAATGCACTTTGAGGAGTACCTATTACAGTAAGAAGTGATAGCAAGGCATTCTCAAATTCTGAAAGATGAACAATAAAGTCACCACAGAATGAACTAGAATTCCTCACCCTGATCCAGTCTTCTGGAAATAGCTCTCGATATTCCCTTATTATTATTATAATTATTATTATTATTTCATTAACAATGAGCTGATACCTTTTTGTTCCATTTATCAGTATTCCTTCCCTTTTCAACCTCTGTGATCTATCTGCCAACCCACTCACCTCACTAAAACTCTTCTTGCCATGTCTGAGAGATTTTCCTCTAGCCACATTTTCCTTCAGCTTTCTTCAATACCTGACACTTTTGATCAACCCCTCCTTGAAATGCAAGCTCCCTTGGGTTCCCTTGGGTCCTGGTTGTGGTCCTTGATCCCCTGGTTTTCTCTCTTACTGTAAAGCAGTTCCTTCATTCTATTGTCTTCCACCAGTATCACTGTAGAAGAACTCCCAAATCTTGATCTCTAAGACCAACCTTTCCCACCTGACCTCTATCTAGTTCCATATTCTGAATTTCCAATATGTTCCCACATTAAGATTCCACCATCACCTCAAATTCAACATGTCCAAAACTATCCCATAAAGCCTATTCCTCATTTCTGTCATCAACACCACCATTCCTATCCATCATCTCCAACCTTATATTCTATTACTTGCCTGTATGGACTCTCTCCTCCACTCAAGTCCACCTTCTCACCAACTACCAGACTCAGTTTACCATTATGACTTAAATCATTCTTTGTATTGTCCTCTAATTGTCTGATGTAAAAAAAAAACACTTCCAGGTCCAACCGGTCAGCAGATTTGATGTCTTCTACCTATAAGGTATTCATGAGATGTCCAGAATCTAATGACTTTTTGCCACCTCCATCACTTCTATCCTGGGCCAGGCTACCTTCATTATTTTGGATGATTTTATGGTCTTTTAACTGTCTCCTTAGTTCTGTTCTTGCCCCCATACCCTACTCCTTCCACCGATTTGCAACATGGCAAACAATGATACCTGAGTCAGATCATGGCCCTCCTCTGTCAAGATTTTCATGGTTTCCCCTCTCACTCAGTGTAAAAGCCAAAGGCCTTCAAAAGTCAACAGGGCCCTGCATGATCTGTCCCTCTCTAACCTCTCTCACCTCCTTTCCTGCTCTCCCTCTCTTTCACTCTTTCCAGCCACACTGACTTCTTTACTGTTCCTGCAAAGTGCCAAGCACATGTCTCAGGGTTTAGAAGATGCTGTTCCCTCTGCTGGAAATATTCTTCCCCTAGGTAATGCATGAACATACTTTCATTTGAATTTCTGTTCAAATGTCACTCTAGTGAGGCTTTCCCTGACCATACTATATGAAATTTCAGTGCAACACTCCCCCCAGCACTCCCTATCTCAGTCCTGCTATTTGTTTCTCCCTGACATTAACATCCTTTAAGATACAGTATAATGTCTGTATTTGTCTTGTTTGTTGCCTACTTCCTTCCACTGAAATGTTAATCCCATTAGGCTGGGATTTGTTCTGTTTTGCACACTGACGTATCCTCAGTTCCTATGCACATATGCTACTGTTCTCAACAAATATTTACTCAGTTAATTAGGGGCAATTGCCTTATTTTTGCAATGTTTAACCCAGAGTTGGATTTATAGTAGATGCTTAGTAAATTTGTATTGAATTACATTTGAAGTAATTTCATTATACAAACCTAATCCCAATTTTAATATAGAAGATAAGAAAAATAAATTACTATACCCTAATGAAGATTATTAAAAGAAAAATCTACTATTAGATTTCACTATTTTTCTGTCAATTTTCAGTAGAGCAAGCATTCTTTGAACCATGTATATGCAAAGAATAACATCTTCCTTTTCATGTAAAACAATATATTGGGGAACTACTATATACCTAACCAAAAGGAATACAAAAGTGAAGTCTCAAGCCCATTCATCAAGTAGCTCACCATTCAGAGAGAGCTCTGGGCCACGTAAGATGGCTTATAGCCTAGACTTAGGGCAGCTCTGTCCTTTCTGCAGTGACAGAAGTGTTACATATCTCTGTTGTTCTGTATGGTAGCCCCTAGCTACATTTGGATATTGAACACTTGAAATGTAGTTAATGTGACTAAGAGCTGAATTTTCCTTTTATTTTATTTTAAATAATTTGCATTGTAAAGCTATCTGTGGCCAGGCATGGTGGCTCACGCCTGTAATCCCAGCACTTTGGGAGGCCGAGGCAGGCAGATCACGAGGTTAAGAGATCAAGACCATCTGGCTAACATGGTGAAACCCTGTCTCTACTAAAAATACAAAAATTAGCCGAGTGTGGTGGTGCACGCCTGTAGTCCCACCTACTCGGGAGACAGGCAGGGGAATCGCTTGAACCCAGGAAGCAGGGGAGCAGTGAGCCGAGATTATGCCACTACACTCCAGCCTGGCCACAGAGCGAGACTCTGTCTCAAAAAAAAAAAAAAAAGCTATCTGTGGTTAGGTACTACTGTATTGGGCACAGCAAATTCTAGATCAAAGGCATAAAATGTTGCAGAGAGCTCTGGTCACTAAAGTGGTAAACACTGACAAGTGGCTGTTTTTACATCTAGCCAAAATATATTCAAGTGCTGCTTAAAGATAGACCAATAAACTACTGAGTACGTGTGCATGTCTGTATTCTTCTGTGAGCGTACACAAGTCAATAGATGTTTATTGCTACACATAGAAAGCAGAGAGGAATAGTCTGACAGACAAAGATCTCACAGGTGTCTGGTACAGCATACCAACTCAGAAATCTTGAGGGTTTTTTTCCTACTATTTTTAGATGCTTTCCCAGCATGATTTGGAAGACTGTTTGGGGATCTCAGATCTGAGCTCAAGAGGGAAAATACATGAAAAATAAACAAGATGAAAAAAGACGCCCTTTCCTCCAAAAGAAAGTCCTGTGTCAGCAAACAAAAAGCATTCTCTGGCTATGCTGACATCACTTTCATCTCTCTCACTTTTCCTGGTTTTTTCATTCTGAGATTCACACGGTAGATGAAATTGCCAATTCTTTTTCACTACCCTATCCATTGACCGTAACTCTACATGTCATCCCGAAGTAAACATAGAACTGGATTATTCAAAGCTCTACAGTACTGGGCCGGGCACAGTGGCTCACACCTGTAATCCCAGCACTTTGGGAGGCCACAGTGGACAGATCATTTGAGGCCAGGAATTCGAGATCAGCCTGGGAAACATGGCGAAACTCTGTCTCTACTAAAAATACAAAGCCTGGCGTGGTGGCGCACACCTGTAATCTCAGCTACTCAGGAGGCTGAGGTAGGAGGATTGCTTGAACCTGGGAGGTGAAGGTTCCATGAGCCAGGATGGCGCCACTGCATTCCAGCCTGGGCAACAGAGTGAGACTTCATCTCAAAAAAATTAAATACAATAAAATAAAAGCTCTATAGTTCTGCTTTCCTGAACTAATATTTCATTGAGGGTAAAAAGTTTCACTTCTGGTAAGTGAAGGGGTTTCTTCTTAACCTCTGGGAAGTAACAGAGTTTTCCTTTAACTTTCCCCAACACTTCTCTAGGTGTTATCTTTACATTGTGTACCTCAGTCTCTAGCTCACCAACCCCTTCCCTTATAAAATGTTCAGACCTCCTGCAGTCTTGCAATCAACAGCTCTCTTGTTGCTATAGGAGGAAGAGGAAGAAAATGATCATAATCATTATCAATAAAATAAATAAATAGCAATAATAATGAAAAATAATTTCATTATTTTTATCTGGGGTAAGCATTTTACATTTAAAAACAGTTCATCTAATATTGAAACCCTACTTCTACTACCTTCCAGGATAATTTTGGGAAATTATTTTTTAAAGAATTTTATAGCTTATGAAACTCTTTTTTTCTCATATAAAATACCAACATAGGATGTTTTGAAGGATACACTGAAGTGTATTAACATGTATGTGCCTCCATTCATATATCATACTGGTAACCAATGTTTCCTACTTCAAATTATATTATGAACTTGTAAATTTTCTATCCTATTTTTTGTCCTGGAGAATGAATAAGAAGAAAGAAGAAAACAGGGAGGAAGAAATGAAGTCCCTCTAGAACTACTGTTGGAAGGGAAGGGGAAGACCTCTGGGTGCCCCAGGGTAATAGTAGGTGTCAAACTGTGGTTCTGTCCATATATTCTCCAAAAACACCATACATATTTTTTAAGTGAGGAGAATAAATAAATAAATAAATAAAGCCACACATGGCCCATAACCAACATCACAAAGAGCCTGAGAATACTATGAACTTCAAAGTACTTGTAAGTAAAGAAATAACCAGCTGGGCACAGAGGCTCATGCCTGTAATCCCAGCACTTTGGGAGGCTGAGGCGGTTGGATCATGAGGTCAGAAGTTCAAGACCAGCCTGGCCAAAATGGTGAAACTCCATCTCTACTAAAAATACAAACGGTCATGTTAACCCTCTCCACTGTGAGGACTTGCTTTTCATGGTCTTGATTTACTGACATCATATGGAGACTGTATCAAACAGAATGCACCTGTTACAGACTAATCTACCAACACTAACCTAGACACTATTTAGTTCCTTGGCCCTCCCTAAACACTCTTTTTCCCTGCAATCCTAACACATGATCGTTGCTCTTTGAGCAAATTTAAATTATAATATTGAAATGTTCAAATAATAAATTAGAGGGTAGTTCCTTATCATAGAAACATTCTTCTTTATTGCAAAGAAAGAACCTGGAGAATTTCTTTTAAAATTAAGGAACTCTTCCATGCATTTAAAATATAACTTAATTTCTCATTTTGTATTTATTGCAACCTCCTCAGTAACAATGAATTCACCTCCCACCCAGATCTTGTTTCTAAATTCCATTCTTCAGTAAATGCAAAGTCCCAGCACTCTTTGGAGAAATAGTTGACAACAGTGCTGGGACCAAGAAAGTACAAGATGAGCCTGGAACATCTTGGGGTTCCAGAAAGGAAGGAAGTGCTCAGAAATTACAAGACTGTGTCAAGAGGAGACAGGAACCAACTCAAAGGGCTCCCAATGGTCAAACCTGGGCAGTTTTGAGCAGCAAAGTATATAATGATAGTTATAAATTAGAATTACTTATAGAATAGAAATAAATATCCACGAGTCCATATTGATATAAATAAGTGGAGGAGGAGTAGAATTCCAGCTAATAAATGTGGAAAGAATAAGGGAAATAGAAAGCCATCATTTTTCAAACAACACAATAATCATCTCAAGCAGGAAGAACCATCAATGACTGTGAAAATTTGTGGTCAAATGTTATGAGAAACAGAACATCTTCAGAGTCTCAAAATATCACTTCACAAGATAATTATTCATTACAAGGGAAAACACAATAACTTCATGGTAAGAAAATATGATGACATCACTGTAATTAAGTGACCAAAGTTAACATCACCAGTAATCAGACATAATTACATCATGTACCTCCTGATATAGGGCACAGAAAATGATACAACATCACCTCTATGGAATTCTTGCCAAAAATTCATAACCTCACTCTAGTCATAAGAAAAATAAATTAGATAAACTCAAGTTGAGAAACATTTTAAAACTGGCTGACCAGTACTTATCAAAAGTATCGAAGGTCATGGAAAACAAGGAAAGAAAGAAAAGTTTTCACAGGAAACTAAGGTGACATAAAATTAGATACACTGCGCAATTAATTTGAAAATAAAAGTAAAAATGAAGATACAATGGTTCCAGCCACTGTGGACTCTGTTGAGCATGACAAGCAATTCAGTGTTGCAGAAGAGTAAAGTGGTAATGGAAGGAGTGATAGAATCAGAGATACTGACAGAGCCTAGATCACAAAGGGCTGAAAGTGCCAGACCACGGATGCTCATCCTTCAGAGGGGAGGTACTAAAGGATGTAAGCAAAGGAGTATTCTGATTAGGTGGGCAACCTGGGAATACCACTCAGGCTACCATGTCCCAACATGAGTTTCTGGGATCAGACCAGAGACAGATGTGGGAACCAGTCTCCAAGATGGCCCCCAGTAATCTTTATCTCCTGACATTGATGCCCTTGTGTGGCCCCTCCCATACTTCATGAGTACTACATCTTCCAGTTTCCTTTGCAGCTAGATATGACCATAACAAAATTCTGGCTAATGGGATATAAGGAGAACTATATGTAATTTCTAGAAATTATCCTTAAGTGGGGGGGTGCACACATACTTGCCTTTTTTCCTTCCTGCTGATTAGAATATGGACATGATGTTTGAAGCCTATGTGGTCATCTTAGATTATCAGGTGAACCCTCATATTGTGGATGGTGAAATAGCACTATAGGGAGTGGGTCCCTAAGCCATTCTTTCAGTCCTATAATGCCTATTCTCTGAACTTTATTTATGTGAAGGAAAAAAACTATGATGTCTAAGGCACTATTTTGGGGGGTTTTCTATCATTCACAACAAACTTAATAATAACTGTTAAAAAATGGATACTTTAAAATGCCCACTTAGGCCACATAAGCAAGTTATTATTTTATGTGACCATGTGATAAGATTATGTCTACTAAGCACAAAGGCAAATCAATAGTTTTAATGACATGAATTCTTATAATTATCAAGCTGTGTCATGACATACACCAAACAATGACTTACCTGCCAAGGCTCGAAGTCAGGTATATATGCACAGATGTTTCCTGGAGTATATGGCCCATGACCTTCTTCACATCTACTTTAATGGTCCAGAGCATAAGCCATAGAATACACAGCTTGTTTGACATTGTTCGTAATTCTTAGCTGAGCCACATCCAGATAGGTATTTTTAAGATCCTCCAACTTCTCCTCTCCAGTAAAGAATGTATCAGACATGGCATGTAATCTGTCTTCTTTACCAATCATATTCACTCTATGATCGATACTGTATGGAATACTACCATTTGGCCAAGTACAGTTAAAAGTCAGTTTGCCAGAATTCAATGGTCAGGACATCATTTGGATCCTTGCTAGGATGCACATCATAAAGAAATTCCCTCAATCCTGGTTTATCAGCTCTTGGTATTGCAAATCCATACTTCCACCAAAATACGGAAAATATTCAGGCTTTGCAATGAGGGCTGAGATAACCCACGCTTCATTGGAATAGACTTTGGGAATGATTTCAGCAAATGCGATACAGAGGTTGGCATTCTGCATATTTTCCTTAAAAGTTTTTACTCCATTCCATAATCATCATCAGCTGCTATAGCGCCTACCCAGACCCAGTGAAAGTGTTGAATAAGTTTTACCATGACCTTCGACTGGATCTTATCACTGGCTATTACATGAAGATAAGATGGAAACTGGTATTTGTCACTAAGAATCACGCAGGTAGAGGCATAGCCCACCTACAATTGAAAATATTCATGCAGTTATTAGAAAGCAATAGCCAAATATCAAATTACACATTTTCATAATATGTTTATTGGGGAGGGAAGGAACTTAACAGTTCTTCTCCCTTTATTTTCACATCTTTCTTTAGACAAAAGGATTTCTGTTCCTTTCCTTGCTCAGTGGATGGGAGTGTGGAGTGTTAGAGGGAACACTTTGGGCCTCCCTATGGACTCTTTCAAATCCACTTCCCCACGCCCCAAGGGAATCGGAGGAGATGATTATTAATACAACATTCAATGCACTACTTTTCACAAGTGAGATCACAGCAGTGAAAAGGAGGCCATTTGCTTTTTCCTCTATGCATCCCACAGACAACGGGAGTGAATCAAGCCATCTAGGCTCTTCCTCAGATTTTACTTCTCATCCACATGGATGATGGACTGAGTAGACCTACAATCCATTTGGCAAGCCCAATTCTTCTCTCCCCGCCCGCTTCCACCTCCCTTCCCTCCTTCCTATCACCATTTTTCTTTCCTTGTTTTTCTCTGCCAGGACTTATGAGTATGTAGATCCCAAGACTTAACTTGAGAAAGGTGGTAGAAAGCACCACTTCAGCCTCACATCTAAGCCCTGTCATCCAACAGAGATAGAAACCCTAATTTTACAGTCACTTGTCTAGATAAATGAAGAGACAGTTTCTCATTTTGCCAGTGATCTCTGTATGTATTTTCCAATAGTGGGAACTTAAGAATAGAGGCCAAGTGATCATGAATTCCTCACCATTTTATATACATTTCCACTGTAGCTTACCCTTAACGGCACTGACCCTACAGTTAAGAACATATTGAGAGGTGACAACATGCTAGCAGCCCTTGCTCTCGGCACCTCCTCAGCCTCACCGTCCACTCCAGTGGTGCCTGAGGAGCCCTTCAGCCCGCCACTGCACTGTGGGAGCCCCTCTCTGGGCTGGCCAAGGCCAGAGGGAGCCGGCTCCCTCTGCTTGCAGGGAGGTGTGGAGGGAGAAGCATGGGTGGGAACCCGGGTTGCGGCGTGGTGCTCACAGCCCATTAGAGTTCCGGCTGGCGCGGGCTCAGCCGGCAGCACTTCGAGTGGCCGGCCGGCCAGCACTGCCGGCCCAGGGCAGTGATGGGCTTAGCACCCGGGCCAGCAGCTGCAGAGGGTGCACGGGGTCCCCCAGCACTGCCGGCCTGCCCCCGCCAGGCTCAAATGCTCACCAGGCCTCAGCCGCCTCCCGGCCGGGCAGGGCTTAGCACCTGCAGCCCGCCATGCCTGAGCCCCCCGCTCCCCCCGGTGGGCTACCGCGCAGCCCAAGCTTCCCCCACGGGCACCGCCCCCTGCTGTATGGTGCCTGGTCCCATTAACCGCCCAAGGGCTGAGGAGTGCAGGCAAGTGGGACCAGACTGGCAGGCAGTCCACCCGTGGCCCTAGTATGGGATTCAGTAGGCAAAGCCAACTGGACTCCTGAGTTTGGGTGGGGACTTGGACTACTTTAATGTCTAGTCTGAGGATTATATATGCACCAATCAGCACTCTGTGTCTAGCTCAGGGTTCATGGATGCACCAATCAGCACTCTGTATCTAGCTAATCTGGTGGGGACTTTGAGAACCTTTATGTCTAGCTAAAGAATTGTAAATACACCAGTCAGCACTCTGTGTCCAGCTAAAGGTTTGTAAACGCACCAATCAGTGCTCTGTGTCTAGTTAATCTGGTGAGGACTTGGAGAACTTTTATGTCTAGCTAGAGGATTGCAAACGCAGCAATCAGCACCCTGTCAAAACGAACCAATCAGCTCTCTGTAAAATGGACCAATGAGCAGGATGTGGGTGGGGCCAGATAAGGGAATAAAAGCAGGCTGCCCTAACCAGCAGTGACAACACTTTGGCGAGCTTTCCCACATGGTGGAAGCTTTGTGTTTTTTGCTCTTTATGATAAATCTTGCTGCTGCTGGCTCTTTGGGTTCACACTGCCTTTATAAACTGTAACACTCACCACAAAGGTCTGCAGCTTCGCTCCTGAAGCCAGCGAGACCACGAACACACCGGGAAGAACAAACAACTCTAGATGTGCAGCCTTTAAGAGCTGTAACACTTACCGTGAAGGTCTGCCACTGAACTCCTGAAGTCAGCGAGACCAAGAACCCACCGGAAGAAAGAAACTGCAGACACATCTGAAGGAACAGACTCGGGACACACCATGTTTAAGAACACACCATCTTTAAGAACTGTAACACTCACCACAAGGGTCCAAGGCTTCATTCTTGAAGTCAGCGAGACCAAGAACCCACCAATTCCGGACACAATATGACACATTTTTGCCTGTCCTATCACATTCCCATCTCATGTTATAATATTAACACACCACCTTCAATAGGATTGCCCATATTATAACTCCATAGCTCAAGATTGTCAATTTCTTCATGAGTACCAGAATATTCTTATTTCCTGTTTCCTCTACCGCATGTCCTATTTTCACTCCATTGGCTAAAGTTTACATTCTTCTTTGGAGCCTTGCAAATAGCAACATTGGAAGCCCTATGTAGGAAATAATCTTATTTAAGAAGCAGAGACACCTGATATCTAATTCTGGATACGTATTTTATCACTGTAAAATCTTAGAGAAGTTACTTAAACCTTCTGAACTTCAGTTTCCCTATAAGTGAAATCAGGGTAATGATATCTACATTTCAAGATTGCTCAATATATTCAATGAGATGACAAATGTGAAAATGTCCATCACATAGATTTCTTTTACCTTCGTTGGATATTTACTACAAGCATTTAATGAGAATATCTAGAGGTTTCCAGCTAGTGCTTGGAAGACAGAGCTCACAGCAGCAGCAGTTTGAGCTGCACGAAGCCCACATCTAACGTGTCATTGGGTCACCCAACCTCTCTTCTTGGTTCTATTTCTCAGTATTTTCCCGTTGCCTCTACATCCGTATTTGAAGCTTTATAAGAAATACTCTGGTAATGCTACTTTTTACAGTTATTTCAAATTCTCTCATTACTTCAGCAACACAAATAAGCTTATTCACATTGATAAGTCGTGACAACTGATATTTAATGATCCATCCTTAGAAATAATGATAGAGCTGTATTCATATTTCCTTAATAATCAATTTTTTCTAGAATAATCTCTTCTTGTGTTGAAATATGTCATTGTCTCCGAATTTTAAATAACCTGTAAAGTTAGCATCCTCTAAACTCTAGCCATCTTGCATAATTCCTAGGCCCATTTCAGTATGTCAGTGCATGAATCAAAATTGTCATGAATAGTAAGCATTAATATAGGCAAGAAAAAAAGTGAATTTCTTATACCATCCATTGACCAACACATATTTATTGATCACCTACACTGTGCTCCACACAGTCCTATAGAGTATTATGCCTAGTGAGTTGTCAACATACAAATCACTGAGTCATAATCTAGAGCCAAAAATTAAAGCAGCATGCCAAGGGATGTAGAAAAATCTCAAATTGCCTCTAAGTAGACATCAATTCACACTTGCTAAGGCCTGATTGAACATAGTAATTAGGGACAGCAGCATCACCACCATCCCTGTTTGTCTCTGCAACTTAACTCAGCCTCACCTGAGCACCTTGCTATCTGCTGCAATTTCCACAAGTATGACTTGTGTTGTTTTTTTTTTAAGTTAGTACTAGCACAATAATTGGAGATACTTGAGGCAAATAATATAACCCTAGAATTCTTGAAGCAGCAACTGATAAGGATGATCCAACTGCTCCAACAATTCCTCCCAAAAATGCTCCAGTGCTGTTCCTAAAATTGGGCCTGCTTTCTTCCTGCCCTGTAAGAAGTACCAAAGCTGTTTCCAGTGATTTGGAGATGGTAAAACAGGTATCAAAGATCTGATAGCCCAAAGTGATGTTGGGCAAAATGTCCTTCCTCTTATTAATCTCCTTGATCATGTGGATCATGGCTTTCATTCAGCAGAATCCCTGAAAGTTAAACCTGAAAAAGAAATAGACTTTGTAGGTTATTAGGTGGGTCTTTGAGGGGAAAAGCAGCTTTTGGAGCATTTTGCCAGAGCATCAGCAGGCACCTCACTTTCTTGAGCATGTTAGTTTTTCTTAAATGATACTACAAACTTGAAAGATTCAAGTATGAATAATATTCATCATTGATAGATTTGGATTGAAAAGTACCATTTTGGATGTCTTCTTGCTCCGTGTTTCTTTCATATGCTATAATCTCTTTAAACTGCTATATCTTTTCACAAAAATATTCTTATATTCATAATTATAACCACCTAACAGGGCCTCCAATAATTTCTCAATACATTTTTCCCCATTAATTGGAAGTCCCTGGTGCCATATGAGTCTCCTTTCTCTCCTACTTGCTTTCTTTAGCTTTTTTTCTGGACATTAATTATAAAAATTATGTAAATACAAGGAAATACTTATGCTAGGAGTACCTAAAAGCAGTACATAAAATCTATATATACTATGACTCCAATTACAATAATTTTTCTATCCATAATTTCATTGTTAACGTTAAGAGGTTTTTAATTGAAAATGTCTTTTTCCTACTACTCCTAGATATAACCATAAATAAAATACCTCCTCCTTTGTGTTTCCTAGCCACTAAAAGGGGAATATATTTCTCTTGCAGTCCATCACCACATTTGCTTTTAAATTCCTTCTCCACTAAAAAAAAAAAAAAAAAAATTAACATTTAATTGCAAACTCTTTCTTCCCAATCTTAACCAAATCTTAACCTATTTGAGAGCAATTTCCCCAAGACCTTCTTTCCTTAATATCTTCTGTGGCTATAGTATCTAACTCTGTGTCTTTTATTCAATAAGTATTTTTTAATTTAATATGTGATAGCAAATAGCCCTGTTGGCAGGGTGGAATTTTTCTCCATGTTTCTTTAATTGGGCTTTTAGTTTATTTTGTTTTTCATTTAATATGTAGTTATTGAGTTCCTCTGGTGCTAGACACTGTAAATACAGTCAGAAACAAGATAAACACAGCACTGTCTAAGCAAAGAAATAGAAAAGTAGCCAAGCAATTTCAGCATAAAATGATAAAAACAGTGATGGGTTAAACCTGGGAGCTATGAAATACAAAGAAGGGGCACCCAGTTCTAGAGGAATTAACAGCCAAGCTGAGGCTTAAAGGATGACCGAAGAACAGGGGAAGAGTGCTGCAAACAGCATGCCTGAAGGCGTTACAGCAAGAGAACATGTCACATTCAAGGAATACAAAAACCAGTATGTTTGGAAGAGACAGGATGGGAGTGGGTGTGGACAATGAAAGCGGAAACTGGAAAACCAGAAGGTGCCAGAACACAAAGGGCTTTATCATCCTAAGATACTTAGTTTCCAAATTTACACTAATGGCAATATCCATTTTTGAAATAAATATAGCAATATCATTTTTAAAATAGAATAGCAACACATTTCAAGAACTAGAAAAATATACACTGGCTGTAATTCCTCCATCCATGAAAATTTATTTGAACAAACTGTTTTTCCCAAAGGAAAAAGTAATATACCCCAACTGTTCATTACAGAATTATTTATAATATTGAAAACCTGGAAAGAACATACATGATGGAAACATTTTTCATTATTTTAAAACTATTAGAGAAATTACACAGCAGTATATGTATAATATTGTGAAAGGTGCAGTATGCAAAGTTGTTTCCATACTATAATTAAAACTACATGTATAAGGTATACTAATATTTGGATAAGGATTAACAAGGAAACTTTTTTAATGCGCACAAAATAATTACTGGAAAGGTGGAATTTGGGATGATTTTTCTTTGATTCATTGATTTCCATTATGATAGTCACAGTATTATTATACAATGCATATATTTTTTCCTCAGGAAGTTTCTCTATGTCCTATGTTTGCTTAGATTAATGGAAACAAAATTAAAATACTCCCTTTCTCCTTCCATTTAACTATCTTTCTCTTTTCTGAGCAACATTTTCAAAATAAGAGCAAGTCTTCCTCTCTGGCCATATTTAAGGTCAGTTAAAGTTATAGTTAAAGTCTGGTCATACTTAAATGATGGCCGGTCAAAATTAGCATATTGTTAAAATTGTGGGTTTCAGAATGAAATTTCTCCAAACTCCAACCTGAATTTCTAGATCAGTTATAGGTGAAGGTTAACAATGCCAAAGTGAAATTATCAGCTTAGGCCCAGCCTGGCTTCTAAGTACCTCGTAGGCCAGGCCTCCCATGAGAACTCTCCTACTGGAGAAATTGCATCACGTGGAGGAGTAAAGAGGCTCGGCAAACACTGGGGTACAGATGAGAGGAAACTGTTGACTCCTATAAGTGAAAGAGAATTATATAGGCTCTAATTTTGAAGAACTATATCAAAAACTTTTAAGACATGAAATGTTTTTGATATTCATAACCCGTATTTAGGATGGGTTGATTAAAATGCTGAAGAACATTTGAGTCTTATAAAGATGAGCAATTTGGGTTTCAGACAAATCAAGCTGGGAGACAAGCAGACTACACACAATGCCTTGCATAACAGATCCACATTGAGGACAAGGAACTGGCTTTTTAGATTGCCTGGACCACATTCAACCACTCTTAAGAGAAGAGGCAATCAGTGGACACCAACCCTGAGATGACTGGGCTGCCAAATGATCAGCCACAGACTTTGAAGCAGCTATTACAACACTGTTCCATAAGGTGAGGGAAAACCCTCTTAAAGCAAATGTAAAAATACAAGTCTGAACAAAGAAATAGAAGCTATTTCTTAATAGAAATTTTAGAAATGGAAGACCACTCAGATTAGTTCATCTTTTTGTGAAATCTGCACTGCAGAGCTTCAGGCCCAGCCCAAGCACTACCTCATCTTCCACTCCTTCTCTTCTGTTGTGATGGAATCCCGTTGGCAGCCGCTCTTTGTGTCCCAGAGAGCTCTGATATACCCCAGAACTCCTGTCTGTTGTAAAGATAAACTTGCCTTACTGCTTCTACTACCTACCTCCCTCCTCTGTACAGCTCATTGCACTTGCACATGCAATAAACCAACTTTCTATATGTGAGGCAATGTGGGGCAGTGCACAGTTCCCCAAATGAAGAGTTCTGATATCAAATAAATTTGGGACGTGCTGCATGCTTAGCCCTTTCTTAGACATTCACAATGCTTGTCATATACTAAATGTTTGTGATGTCTTGGTAGTTACCCAATTTTATCCAAACCCAGAATCCTTTTTTCAAGGAGCATTTATCCGTTTGGAAAATATTCTTAAGGTGGACATGCAAAACACTTGGCTGATTCTGAGAGCCTGAAAGAAAACCACAACTCTGCCTTATGCTTTCCATGTGACCTTGTGTAAGCCATTTAACTTTTTTGAGCCTTAGTTTCCTCATCTGAAATGTGGACATAACATCTTCAACCAGCTGTTTTTAACATTAAATGGGATGTCTTCTGTACCTAAGAATGAGTTAGTACTGAAGAAACATTCTCTTCCCAAGAGCTTCATCCCAGAAAAACAGGCCCAGATCCAAATTGTTTTTTATTTTCTTATTGTCTAGAGTGTCAAGAAAATCAAATACAAATACATGAAGTAAATAAATACTATTGCTTATTTTCTCACAATTTTATGAAGAGGTTGAAATCAGCTTACTGGTACCTCTCTGAGGCAGGTTCTGAGCTCAGGCCCTCATCTCCACAGGCCCTGCTGACTCCCTGGCCTCACTGTCGACCTTTTCTGTTTCCTGCTCCCAGATATCCCCTTCTGGGTGAATATTGAAGCTTTACCCATCCCTGGCCTCCATCCTATGGGACAAACTCGCTTTCTTCCATTTCCTTTCTTGTTATATTTTCAAGAGAAAAACTTTATATGTGATCTCTCAAAATATGAGAGAAAACAGAACCAACTCCTTACAACTTTCTGAAGGTAAATCTTCTCATTGTTTCCATACAATGCCTTTTTATCTGCCTCTCTCTCAAATCTTAGCACTTACCACTTTCTTGTTTGTCATTCTAAATGACTCTGCCTCTTGTACTATTATCTGACTCTTCTGATCTTCCGCTATGGTAGTTCATCAGGCAAGCTCTCTCCCTAAATTCTCTTCAGAAATGCCCTGTCCTGCTCTCACTGTCCACCTTCCCCACATTTCTATTCCCTTATAGCAAGAAGGACCAACTGAAAAATAACTAGAACTCATCCTTTTGGGTGAATAACTAGTAGTCACTGTCTGCCCCTGTCACTTGCCAATAAACAGTAGAATTTTTAGTACTAAAAGCCAACCTAAAGGCTGTGGTGCTAACTCTTAGTGCTCTCCTGTATCTTACTCTCCACTTCTTCCTGACAATAAACAAGAAGTCACGGCTTAGAAATTTGGTACTTTGCCTGTTTTCACAGTTTCTAACTCCTGCAACTATTATTTATTTTACATACCTATATTGGGTAAGTTTGTCTTATATCACTTATTAACTTTTTTAAAGCACATTATATTTTCTTTCATGTGCACATATATCAAATACATAATGTAAAGCCAAGCAGTAGCCACTCAAATCCTGTTGGCATTGATTATGCAAATCCCAAAATATTCCTGATAAGTGAATTATTTTCAGAAAGGGATGTAGTTACTTCTCATCACTATTGCAACCACAAGGTATATGTAAAATTATTTTTAATGAGGAGGAGGGGAGTTTTATTTTAAAACATGTATATTGGCTTTTCCATTTAACCTTTTAGGAAAATAACCTTCAGAAGTTCCAATGCAGAACAGACAACAAATTAAATGATTCTGTTTATGAAATATAAATATTATATGTTTTGTTAAACTTCAAGTTTTCATTTTATGTTAGTAAGGATTGAAGAAGAGAAAAACTATGATAAATAACGAACTGAGTCTACCATAATGTAGCCATAAACAAAAGCCATTCTCATCTTTCTTCTTTTAGCTTCACAGTAAGAAAAGAATTAAAAGATCTAGGAAAAAGATAAGTAGAGAGTGATTACAATCCTCTCTGCCAACAACATTATGGTTGATCCCTCTGCTAATGATATCTCAAATATGGGCCATAAAATATAATCAAAGGACAGTGGTTGTAATTAGCAAAGATTTAATGTGTAAGAAATTATTTACATTTTTACAATATGCATTTACAATTATAATAGCCATGCAGCATCATGGAAATGCTCCCTACACAATATAAAATGCTAAATATAAAATTGCATCTGTGCTATGGTCACAACTATGCACAAATTATGGATGCATTTCTATAAAGGGCTAAGAAAGCATATAGGAAAATGAAAAGATCTGCTTTGTTATGCAAGTAGAATGGTGGATAAATGTTTTATTTTTAATTTCTGGTGTTCTTTTTATAGCTGAAGTTGGGGGAGTGATCTAACACATGTTTGCCTTTATTATAATGGATTACAAGCAAATTCAGATTATCAATCATGGATTCCATTTCCTTACATGACAACTTGGAGTTAGGGGAGTGGAAGGCAGAACCCTCACAGCAACTAAAAGAACCTTGCCATTAACAGTAGCTCAGAAATAAGTTAGTGTTCCCACACTGTGTATTTTCACTTGATGAGAGTTTAGTCTATAACAATTAATAATAAACCTGCAATACTGTAATTCTGCATTAGGGCTTCTCAAATCTTAATGTGTACATGAATCACCAGGGGGTCTCATCCAAATGCAGATTCTGATTCAACAGGCCTGGGAATGTAGCCTGAGATTTTACATTTCTAACAGTCTTGGGTGACACCTCTAGGAGAGGCCTGGCAAGAAGGGGAGGAGAAGGAGCTCTCAGGAAGAAACCCAGGGACATGAGCCTCACCAGTGACAAAGGAAACAGTGTGAGCTGAGGGCAACACTTCACCTTAAAGTGTAGGTTAAAGAAAATGATGCATACAAAAAATGTTCACTGACCTCTTATGGGCTTTACAAAAGTTTCTAAGGTAGTTTATTATCCCCTAGTCGCAGAGGCAGGAAGGCAGGAAGGAAGGCTCAGAAATTAAGTAAGTTTCCCACCACCATGCTAATAAAAGTGGCAGAACACAGATTAAAAATGATGTATTCCATTCCAAATCTCATGTTTTGTTTACTTTACAAATGAAGAATCATGAGCTCACAGATCCAGCGTATGCTAAAGTGCAGACACCAAAGCACACATCCTTTCAGAGGCCTAGGGGTAGAGAGAAAGGACATGGACCAAGTCCCAGAGCAGGAATTGGAGGTGTGGCTTTTTCACTGTGTGACCCTCTCTCCATCTCTTGGACCTCAGGCCCCTCATCACCAAATAGGAGGCTTCAGACTAAACAGCATTGTTTCTTAAGGGTCTTAGGTCCTAACAGAGTCAGCAATGCTCTGGTTCTGACTGAGCCATTCTAAGGCTCAGATTCAATGATAGCTTAATAATGTGCTGCCAGAGCAAGCAGTAGCAAATTGTTTCATTGACTATCAAGGTGAAATTGTTTTCTCAATAATACTTTGAACCTAATTACCATTTTCACATGACTCTGACTTCAAGGATCCCCGATCAAAGCAAAAGACACCAGATGAATGTTGGTGCAAAAGGCCATAGGTGTTTAATCCCATGTGTCCACACCAAGACTCCTAGGCCTGAGACCATGAGCTGTATGTTTTTACCTCACTCCCCTAGACATGTTTGATCTTTGTGGTTCTCCAAGGGCCCTGGTGAAAGTTAGGCTTCCTTCCAGGAACAAAAACACATCCTGTCCAGACTTGTCTTCACCTTCAAGCGAAAGAAGACATCCGAGCTCCTAAAGACTCTGGACCCATGTTATTAATAAAGGCTAAGAATATTTAAAGACTGTTACATGGTTTCCAGGAAAAGCTCAAACCCCAAATCTACTGCAGATAAACACTGCTGAGTGCTTCTGAGAAGCTGGGGCATTACAGCCATCCCAGTGCACTCACAGCTGGGTCACAGTCATTTGGTCAGGCACAGTTTGTCAGATGTCATTTGACTTTTATATTTCTCCATGTTACTCGGAATCCTAGGTAATACTCATGCCATACCCGCAGATGAATAAACACACTAATCTACTTTGTTTTATTTCCTATGCAGAGCCATCCTACCCAGTCACATAATGACATAACACCTAGTTATATGTATTTAAGTTGCTGTTTTCACTTTGCAAAATGTATATTACAGCTGACTCTTAAACGACATGCGTTTGAACTGCATGGATCCACTTTCATGTGGATTGTCTTCTGCCTCTGTCACCCCCAAGACAGCAGGAAAAATCCCTCCTCTTCCTCTCCCTCCTCAGCCTATTCAATGTGACAATGACAATGATGAAGACCTTTATAATGAT